GGACTAGAAATACATCATCTAAGCAAGTTCTCTTCTTGGGGCCTTGGGGTGGGGGGTGGAGGGAAAGCTTTATGTCCATCCGACTGATACTGAACGCAGACCTCCAGGGTGGAGGCTATGTGCTCTGCATTCTATTGGTCTCAACCTTGCAGCTAGGAAAGACATTGTCCCACTCTTTGGGAAAGCATAGTTCTCTGAGTCAGAAATACATCTCCTGGGTGTGTTGGAACATCACAGAGGGATGCTGGACAGATAGTTCTGTGTTCACATCCAAGGGTCCCAGATGCTGAGCTCCTCCTCTGGTGTGAGTACAGCTGGATTCCCTTAGAATTGTCTTAGATTTTAATATATTTATAATATAAGCAATGTGGGTCCCCAGTCTAAACATGCTGCAGGAATTTCCACGTTTTGCATCATGTTGGCATGTGAAAGTTTGATACATATGTGTATGTTTTTGGTTTTGGATGCCCTACCTGACTCTTTATGTTCATTCCCACCTTTAATCCCAGGGGAAACTCCACATACAGTGTGTGTGTGTGTGTGTGTGTGTGTGTGTGTGTGTGTGTGTGTGTACAACAACATGGAAACTGGGAGATTACATGTGGTAAGTTATTAAATTAAAGGAGAAATAAGCTCCCTTAAGGACTAAAAAATGCTTCGGAAAGGCTGGCGGTATAGCTCCATTGTCGACTTCTTTCTTCCGTAGCATGCACAAAGCCCCAGATTCTGTCCTCAGCTCTGCAAAAGGAGGTGTTTTGCAGGGGCTCAGAACATGTGCACACAATTGCAGAAAACATTATAATGTGTATTTGGAGAAATGAATACAGTTTTTTTTCTAAATACTCATTTTGGTAACACCAGCACAGAAAGAAAGGAGGAAAAAAAAGATAGATAGATACAGATATAGATAGATAGATAGATAGATAGATAGATAGATAGATAGATAGATAGATAGGAAGAAGGAAGGAAGATTTTTATATTAAGATGTAAAGGAGGATTGAATCAAAATTCAGCAATAATACTTCAATAACAATTTTATTTAAAAGTGGTCTTTCTTTGAAAATGTCTATTTTGACTGACACCATGTCTAAATTGGTTCCATATTTACTACATCTCATTATAAGTCACAAATTTCTCAAGTGTGACATCTTTATTTCAATTCTTATTTCTAGCACAGTTTTGGGATCTACAGAAGTTTTCATTTTTTTTTAAGATCTTTTAATGAGAATCATCTCGTTGTTGCCTTTAGAGCCTAGTGGCATGGCTGGATAGAAATATTTTGGGTCACACACCTTCCCTTTTAAGTCTTTAGCAATCTTTGACAACACAGGTTTCTAATATTGCTCAAGCAGGGCCTTGTATCAATAAATTTTGGCCGCCTATTTTCAGTCAGAGTAGTGGAGGAACTGTTTAATCTTAGCCTCCTGAAGATAGGCACTCATCTACTTCCCCTGTCGTTTATTCCAGCACTTGCATGTCTATTCCTTCTTACCTTGGTGGCTGATAAGGACCAGGGCTTTGATTTCTGATGAGCCCATACGTTTGTGAGTTATGAGTGGGTCCTCCATCATCTGTGGGCTTCAGACAGCTCTAGGTCTTGGCTGGGTCCTGTGTTTTGTGTGTCTGCCCTTTGCATCCCAGGGTGAAGGACTTGGTGTCCAAGGTGTTTTCATTGTGAAAGAGACAGAAGTTTCAAGGATGGAGAAAAATATGGCTGCTTCTTTCAGCCTTACTATTATCTGCAACTATATCCTCTTGGTCTAGGTGAATCCTGTGGTCACCCCCAAAGTCAGTGCACAGAGGAAGTCTGTATGCATAGAGCATGGGATGTGATTAGGCCTTCTTTTATTTAGAAAATGTTTTTCTGTATATTTAAAGTATTTTACATATCTTTTTGTTGCTGTTTTTAGTTTTTTTTTTTTTTTTTTTTTTTTTGCTTTGTTTTTTCAAGATAGGATTTCTTTGTGTGTAGCCCTGGCTGTCTTGGAACTCGTTCTGTAGGCCAGGCTGGCTGTCCTAGAACTTGCTCTGTAGACCGGCTGGCTTTGAACTCATAGATCGACCTCCCTCTGCCTCCTGAGTGCTGGGATTAAAGGTGTGCGCCACCACTGCCTGGCTCCAGATCTTTTAAGATTTGATTATTTTTGTTTCTTTTTCCTAACCTGCCCACCTTTGCCCTGCCCAAACTCCATCCTTGGCCCCTCCATCCCTTCCCTTTCCTTTCCTCTCCTTCCTTCCCTTACTCTCTGTCCTCTCCCTTCTCCCCTCCATTCTCCTTCATTTTCTGATCTCTTAGAGACTGAAGTGAGCACCAAGTATATGAATAAACAGACAAAATTAATAGTTAACATATTCTTTAAAGGGAGGCAAATCCAACATTGTTTCCCTTTTAAAGTTTTCTTTTCGAAGTGTGTGTATGTGTGTGTGTGTGTGTGTGTGTGTGTGTGTGTGTGTGTGTGTGTTTTATGGATGTGTGTGAGTGACCAAAGAGGGAAGAAAAGGGCGTTGGATCCTCTGGAGCAGGAGTCACAGACTTTGTGAGTTGCCTAATTTGAGCCTTGGAAACTGAGCTCAGGTCCACTACAAGAATAGTATGTGCAATTAACCACAGACAGATCTCGTCTCTCTAGCCCATAAACATTGTTGTCATATGACGATTATTGACATAGAAATTTGAGGTCAACTGAAATTGGTTTATAAAGCTGTAATAATTGAATTTTACTGATTATAAAGCTATAGCATTAGTATTAACGTTAACTACACAGCAATATGATTACTAAAACTACCCTGTTATGACCTCAAAGGTCAGGACTAACTGGTACTCACCACTTAAATACAAACATTTATATTGTCCATAAGCAAACTTATAAAATCTCCAGAGAGACATAAAATAAGATTTTAACACATTATAGTTGAATTAAAAAAAAAAAACCCTCTACATCAGAAGCCTCCTCCTCATGTATAAACTAATCTGAATATCCAAATAAATGGAAATAATTTCAACGAAACAGGAAAAAACAGGAAGGTACTACAAATGGCCACTGAGCCTATGCAATGCCTATAATTTCATGAATGTCACAAAGACAAATTGATCAAAGTCTCTAGGATTAAAAAAATACGTCATTCATCCATACTTGAGTGTAGACTATACAACAGCAACTCCCCTGACAAGTTCCACTTTGCTGACTTGGTGGATTCACTGTTGCTCTTGGCCTGCTTGAACGCCAGGCCATTCTCTGGCAGGAAAGTGTGGTTCTCTCTCCCCAGCCAGCATGCTGCATACCAGCTCAGCCCTGTTTGTTTCCCAGCGTACTCACGTCGTGTTTATTAAAGTTGGGGGGATAACTTTTAAACCGGCGGAGGCAAAAGAGTGGCTGCCCTGCTGCGAAGCTGACTGTGCGGGGCGAGAGAACTCTTAAAAGCGTGACTGGATTGAGGACTGGATTAGGTGGAAGTTCTGCAAAGCACTGGTAAAATTGAGCGCAGTATGACAGACAGCATTTAAATTGTGGAGTGGTCTGTGGAGTGGTCTGCAGGATAGATGGTACCATGAGGACTTGGAAATCCCTACAGTGTGGAGACCGGATTTAAAACTGTGATAGAGAGGAAGTCACGATTATCTTCTAGGCAAAAAGAAACATAAGAGCTTGTCAATGATCATCTGGGCAAAAATTATAAAAGATGTTTGGGTCAACATTCAAAGATTGGGTCAACTGGGAGTTAAAGAGCGAGCGGGCAAAGACTTGGTGTGGGGAAAGCTTCGTGTTGGGAGGAACATTTTGATTCACAAGCTTATTGAACATATAATGAATCGGAGTCAAACTTCTTTATCTCATTTTTCGTGGAATGAGGTTGAGGTAAGGTTTCACTGAGTATCCCATTTTGGCCTGGAACTCACTATGCAGCAAGGCTGTCCTCAAATTTATGATGCCCTCCCTCACGTTCCTGAGTGCTGGGACTACAGGTATACAAGGTCATGCCTGGAGGAGATGGACTCATTTGTCAATAGAGAAATATTTGTCTGAAGTAAATTGTACAAATAGATGAAATGCAGCTCAAATAGGACTTATCATCTATCAGAATAATAGCATTTGGCATGAAAAGTCAGGAAACCAAGATTCCAAAGAAAAATATCCCATTGCGGTAATTATTGGGCTCATTTTACAAACGGACCTCTCTGTTTTTTCACAAACCAAAGGACTCCACCACTCTTGAAAACATAAATCATCTGTCATTCCCAGTTCACTAAGGCTTCAAAGCCAGTGAGAAGGGATTCTGAGCTACGTGAGGAAAGTGTTTAATTTTCTTACATGGATTTATGCATTAAACTCTCCTGGACAAGGCCCTCTGAAAAACTCCAAATGAGAAGAATTCAAGGGCATGCTTTCTTAGCCTCTGTCACCCTGGGATGCTTAGGAAATATCTAAGAGGAAAAGGTTTCTCTGTGGTTTAGTAAACCGTAGCTGATCTGAAGATATTTCTTAAAGAATGATTTTTTAAGTGACCAATTTCATTACATTTATATATTTATTTAGTGTAAGGTGGGTGGGCACACACGCCCCAGTGTGCTTCTGGGTGTCCGAAGACAACCTAGGGGTGACAATTTCTTATGTCCACTGTGTGGGTCTCTGGGCTCAAATTCAGGTGTGGCCAGAAGCACCCTTATTCACTGAGTCATCTGACCTGCCACTGTGCTCTTTATAATTTATTAGTAATATAGAGTCAACTTCTGTGTACACATCTTACTAAAGCTTGGAAAAGGGTTGTCTGAGGTTGACTGTGTTGCAGGAGACCCTGAAGCATAAGGCAAAACAAAGGACACAGCCTATTAACTAACTATCCTAAAACCACATGACCTGTCTGTCTACAGCTGTGGAACTGAAATGCCAAGAGCCATCGTACGTGTCTCTTTCATTCCAAGGCCTCTGTTTCTGCTTCGTCCGTGGTTGACATACATTAAGCACTTAATGAACAAATGAGAGAGATCCAATTACCTGACCTGTGGGGTCCTTGACGCAATCCCATTCTGTGGGATGATTGTGCATCCAGAAGAGCCCGGACTCCAGAATGGAAGTGATTTCCTGTATGGTTCCCACTGTGTGATCTTGGCTGAGTTTTTCTACTCACGGATCGAAACCTTTTCATCCCTATAACCAGAATTAGACCTTTTAGATTTGCCAAGAGGATATAAACTGAGGAAATGTGTGCTATTTGTCTAGTCTAGGGAGAGCTCTTCATCAGTGGGAAAGATGAGGGTGGAGGCAATGGTGTACCTCCTAAACTCACGGAGGAGTTCAGTCCTTGGGGAGCAGAACACTTCTCTAGTTTTTAGACGGCTCTTCCACATTCAAAAAAGGGGCCAACACTTCTCAGAGAGGAAATTGCTCAGCTCGAAACCCTTCTCCAGCGGGTCACATTGCAGAAACAGTGTTTTGGCAAGTCTAACAAAGACGCCATTATTCCCCAGCATAGACAATGCCAAGAAGGTGCTGGGTGGTCCCGAATACAGGAGACAGATAATGTAATGGCTCCATTCATCAAAAAAAAAGGCGAGTGTGCACACCAGCTGCTTGCCAGCTGGAAAATGAAGCTCTTCTCCCTTCGGAGGATAATTTACTTCTGCTGGGGAGACTCTGAAATAGTCTTCACCTTTAAAGGACCGACCAGATTCCAACGGGATCATGTAACTTTGTGTGGACTCAGCGAACGAGCGCAGAGGGGAGCAAATTAACCATGGGACTAAAGACAGAACGGGACAGCCCAATGTCCACTTCCTTGATCTGTTGCTCACCTGGCGCATACTGAGGATTCTGACATTCACTATATTTCTTTTTTTTTTTTTTTTTGTTTGGCCACCAGGAAGCTGACTGCCAAACTTTAGCTAATCCTCAAGCGTCAGTCGTACAAGAAACTGTGGGATGGATTTCTGTGTTGACCATTTCTACAGCCTCCAGTGGTTTCCCTCTACAAACTTCAGTGTGGCAAAGGATCCACCGTTATTAACCTCTTTTCGCTTTGCATACAATGAGAACAACATTTAGATACTTGGTCTGTGGTTGAAAACCTACAGGTGAGTATTTTTTTTTTTCTTAGTTGATACAGAAAAAGCAACGTAGCTCTTGGGTCCGAAAGATGGTCAGTGGGTCAGGGTGGCTGCCACCAAGCCTGATGACATGGGTTTGCTCACACACTGACTTCAGCAAGTTGTGTTCTGATCTCGACAACTGCACTGCAGCACACAAGCACCTCCCCCATATATACATTCCACATAAATTAATAAATGTACCAACTGTTTTAAAATGTTGTAGTAGCGTATCTTTTCTGTACATTGAACAATTGAGACTTTTTTCACTCAATTAAATGTGTGTTTTTAAAATTACAAACAATGACAACCACTGTCTAGATAAATTGTCTCATTAAATATTCAAGACAATCCTTAATAAGATGCTTATTTAGATATATAAGTGATATATTGAGACCTAACACTATTAAGTAGTTTATCATATTCTTATAGTTTTTTTTTTTTTTTTTTCCCGAGACAGGGTTTCTCTGTGTAGCCTTGGCTGTCCTGGATCTTACTCTGTAGACCAAGCTGGCCTTGAACTCATAGAGATCCACCTGCCTCTGCCTCCCAAGTGCTGGGATTAAAGGCATGCACCACCACCACCGCCTGGTCTTGTTTGAAATCGAGGGTTGCAGGCTTTGAGTCTGAATCCATCTGAAGGAAAAGACTCAGTCTTAAACCACAACATTTACATTTTCTTACATTTTTTTTTCAAAATTTTAAAATTTTAATTAAAAAACTTCATACTTGAGTACTGTATTTACATCATATCTATCCCCCATTCCCTTCACCAACTCCTTGATGGTGTCTGCCTCCACCCCCTCTCAAATTCACGAATTCTTCTTGTATATGCATAAAACGTCCAGAATTCATTTAGTGTTGTTTATATTTACATATTTTAGGGCTGAGCCCTTGGGATTGGATAACCTATTAGAGATCTTGTCTATGGAGAAAACTGATTCTCTGTTTCTCACCAGCCATTTCTTGCTCCTGCTTCTTTACACACTGTTTATTTGTGGGGCTGTGGGAAGCAGTTGATATGAGTATAATGATTTGAACGGAAACCCAGCTCCTGAAAGCATGTTCTAACTTACACAGTGAAACCCACAAAAGAAGGTCAGGAATTGGGTGCTGCAGTCCCCAGAGGAAGGCAGAAAACTGCAGTGGAACATGAGGAAGCAGCGCGGTGGAAATCGGGAAGGCATTTTGGCACAGCTTTGATGCAGAGAGGAAATTATGCATGAAGGAAGCTCAGGGGTCAAGAGGCAAGATTCCATTCTTGGAAAGAGACAAAGGATGAACATGGCTTGAAGGGTGGGTGAGTGCAGAGCAAGGTTGCATGCTAGAGCTCTTAAAGGAATCTGCAGACAGAGACGGACCAGTTTAGATAGACGTTCAGTTTAGACGAACTGTGCGCACATCACTTCTTCCCAGCAGGAGGCTTCCTTCTACTCACAATATATTCATGATCTAAGAATTCACCACCCTGTGACAAGCAAGGAATCATCATACTTGGGAAAAATTCTATCTTCAGTCAAGGGATTATCTGGTCAAGTTGCCCTTTTCATAGAATGCTCTAGCTCCCTGTTACATTGCTACAAAGTAGCCAGTTGCATGCATCTCACAGAAGCCCTGAAGTCTATCTCTAGACCTTGGGAGGTCTTTTTCCATCAGTCCACAGGGATGATTTTTTTCCTAGAAGATACTTGGACTTTGTGTAGGTATCTCAGAGGGCTTGTCACCCACTTTGGAGTTGCCCAGTCTTTCATCATTTCTATTTTTGCCTCCGATGCTCTTTACTCTCAAAACAACACTGCTGCCAATCACAGAGACAAAGTTACTTAGTTTCTTTTTAGCCTCCTCCCACTAACAAGCGTCTAAGGAAACAAAGCCGGTGAAATCAGTGGCACCGAGGAAGAGAGGCAGGATCCTGTTCCGGGAACAAACGCTAGTGTGAAAAAGAACAACATGAAGGATATTGTATAGTAACGAACAACACAGCATACAGCAATACATTGCATAGTAATGATCTGGCTGCTGATAATGAAGGAAGGATAATAGGAGAAAAAGAAAAGGAAGGTGGGAGGGAGGAGAGAGAGAGAGAGATAGAGAGATAGATAGATAGATAGATAGATAGATAGATAGATAGATAGAGAGAGAGAGAGATGTGTGTGTGTGTGTGTGTGTGTGTGTGTGTGTGTGTGTGTGTGTGTGTGTGTGTGTGACAATTCCAATTCCAGAAGAACTCCGAAGAGGTTAGTGTCCCGAGCAACTGGAAAAGAATAGTCCAACTCTGTGTGTTAGTGACCAGATAGACTATTCCTAACCAGTCTGTACTGTGGGCACATCTGTTTATCCACTCAATAAACTGTCATCACTCATAGAGAAAAAGCCAAACTCACCATGCTTGCCTTGATAACTTCCTGCAGGCTGATTTGTATGGCAACATTTAGTGTCTAGACCCTCTTACCTGCCTATCTACTACAGAACAGTCCTATGTTAGAGGGGAAGCCAGAGTACTCATAGAGCTATCTAGGACCAATAGGGAAAATAAACAAGAAGTTACAGGTCAAGACAGTAGATTGAATATTTATGGTTCGTGCTGGCAAGGAAAGCCATAGGGTCAAAACACACTGCCCTGACCCTTTTGAGGCATCTTGATACCTGTGCTAGGTGCTCTGTGAATGGAAAGACCACCCCTTCCCCTTTAACAGCTGTAAGAATTATTCTGAGGCTGATGAAATAAGGATATTGAGTCTCTTGTTCCGCAAAAAGGCCCAAGGGTCTGCCTTTCTCACATGTCCCACGTTCTGGTTGAGAGAACACACCTTAAATAAATACCAAGATGCCATAATATATTAGGGTCACCCTTGTTTCTGTGTGACTTGCCTTGTGTCCACATCTGTTAAGTCCAGGGGCAGTGGGACAGCCATCTGTCCTTATGATGGCTGGGTCTGTGTCCACAAACAGAAACTCAAGATATGAATGTGTTTGTTGGTCACAGGCCATGCAAACAAATCAAGTACACTCGATGTATAGTTCCATATCGTTAGCCCATCTCAGCAAAGATTGGCTAACTCCCGTGCAAGAGGTGTTGTTCAATTGTGGCTCCTTCATGCGTAGCTGGGTGGGCTTCACCACCGGCATTTGCACGCCTGACACTCACTTTTACTGTCCTGGTAAGACCGAGGTCCAAAGCTTATCTTTCCTAACAGTACTTTCAGGCTGTGGCACGAAGCTATGGTGGGTCTCAGTCCTATGCCTTTAAACAAAGAGAGGGATGCTCCACGCTGGTGCTGCAGGGGCAGCCTTACGTGAAGCGCTGATCTAGGGGCTCCCTAGAGTCTTCCCATCTCTGTTTTTCCTTCGGTCCTTGCCATAGAGTAAGACACAGGACAGCGGGACGATGTTTAAAGGGTCACGAAAGCAGGCTGGGGGGATGGCTCAGTTGGCAAAATGTTTGCTTTCCAAGAATGAGGCCATGAGTTCTCTTCCTGACACCCACATAAAGAAGAAAAGAAATCTAGGTGTGGTAGTGCTTGTTTATAATCCCAGAGGCTGAGAAAGTGAAGACAAATAGATCTGGGGTTTGGTGGTTGGCCAGGGAGAAGTTTCAAACTAGTCAGACAGTTTGTCTAAACAAACAAAAAAACAACAACAAAACAAAACAAAAAACCCAAAGTAGGTAAGTGCCCTGAGGAATGACATATAAGGTTGACCTCTGACCTCTAACCGTTGAGTGCTTGCCTGTGCAGGTGCACACACACACATACACACATACACCACACACACATGAGAAAGAGACAGACTGTGTATGTGTGTGTGTGTGTGTGTGTGTGTGTGTGTGTGTGTGTGTGTGTGAGAGAGAGAGAGAGAGAGAGAGAGAGAGAGTTTTCTGCAAGAGATGATGCCTGGTGACCGAACTAAATCTTTCAAGGAATTGGCTCAGGGATGTGGGTGACAGAGGGGGTAGCCCAGGCAAAAGACACTTGGAACGTATCTCTAATGAAGTGTGGCCAGACAATAGACAGGAGGACAGGCCATGGAAGTGGAGGATTGAGAGCTCAGGCAGAATGATGGAGG